TGACCGCAGCCGCCCCGCAGCCGCCCCGCAGCCCCGCAGCCGCCCGCAGCCCAGCCTCCGCGTCCAGCCGTGTGGGCGGCCCTCTGAGCAGAGTGCAGCCAGGTCAGCCTAATTAGCCAGGCTAATGTCTGGTTTCCTGGGGAGAGTTTTTGTGAAGTAATTGCCTGCCTTGGGGTCAAAATGTAGTAATTATAGGTCTTTTTGTTACTAAATGAGATAAACAGCCTTTGAATTCTTGCAGCAAGTTAGCCAATCACAGGAGACTTCTCTTTGTGCCCCAGAACTGCAGAGGCTATTTTGACAGGTGATTTCAATACCATGTAGCTATTTATTTATTCTGGGCCTGGGACATAAACACAAACATCTTGGCCTCCAATTGCACACGTTAAGACTATCAGGACTCTGTCAGAACCAAATGTGGGGATTGCAGGGCAGAGGGTCTGCTTAAAACGCTGACGTTGGAGAATGAGGTCGGCAGATACTTTGAGCTAAAGGAGAAATTCCCTCACAATTTTAAAGTTAACAGAACAGCAGAATTATCCGTGTTAACCAGCTCCCTTTCTCCCAGTTGTTTGCTTATTTTCTCTGTAAAAGTCAACAGGACAGTCTGGGAAGACCATGGGAAGCTAATAAAGTAGGCAATGTCGTTTCCACCTCCGGAGGTAGACAATGGAGCATGGAGAAAGGAATTCATTCCAAGCTTGACATGAACATATTTTTTACCAGTTCTGGTTGGGGTGAAGGGGACTCGCCCCATGGAGTGGGAATATAACTGGTGTGAAGATCAGGAAATAGGAAATGGGGAAATGATTTATAACTGAAATGAACATTGTTTCAAGGATCTTGTTGCCTCCTGGGCACCCCACACACCTGCAGGCACCTAGCTGGTTAACCCTGGCAACCCAAGGCCCACAGACCAGCGACATCAATATCACTGGGAAGTTTGCTTGAAATGCAGGGTCCTAGGCCCCACTGCAGACCTCTTGAGTCATAGTCTGCAGTATATCATGATCCCCGGGGGATTCCTATGCTTATTCAAGATTAAGGAGTTTTAGTTTAAATTACCATGTGATAGGGTTTACTCCAGATGGGTATGGCTTGTTTTAAGGAAAAACATTGAGAAAGTATGTCCTCCAAAGTATGGAGACATAAGGTGAGTAGTTAAGTACCAGAATGGTGATCTACAACATTTTGGTCTCTTCAGAGGAAAAGTGACTTGTAGACTTTCTTTTTTTTTTTTTTTTTTTTTTAAGATTTTATTTATTTATTCATGAGAGACTCAGCGAGAGAGGCAGAGACACAGGCAGAGGGAGAAGTAGGCTCTGTCCCTGATGTGGGACTCGATTCCAGGATCCCGGGGTCACTCCGGGGTTTTATTCCCACTCCTATTTCTTGATCTTCACATCAGTTTTATTCCCACTCAGCCAAAGGCTGACACTCAACCACTGAGCCACCCAGGTGTCCAATTTATAGACTTTCCTAATGTCAAAACTCAGTTGCATGTGGGAGTTTCAGCCGATCCCTCCATTTCCTCCCTGCTTTACCTGGGAAATGAGAAGAATATAGTCTCCCTACCTCTCTGGATCTATAGTTGCAGCTTGATACTATAAATCGATTACTCTTGGAGCCTGCGGCTGGTCCGTGTCTGTTCTCACTTTTCCCAGTATATCTTTTAGGCCCAGTCATGCATATGGAAGTCTGATAATTAACAAGATAGGTAAACTTTTGGGCATCAAAACAAACCTTAATGTTTAGAAGGAACTGACTGCTGGGGTAGGTCCAGAAGGAGGTTTGTGCAGTTTGTACTATTTCCAAATCCCACATCAAATGCACCAAATAGTGTAAGGGAGCTCTGCAGAGCTTGCCTATAGGATACTCTTGATATTTTTCTAGCACATAGGTGGATTTCAAAGACTCTGTCTTATGATGGTGTTAGTGAAGATAGGCAGCACCTCATGATGCAGAGCATGGATTTTTAAAAAGATATTTATTGGACCATGTCACTATATTGTATAGTTTTCTATACACTAAAAACAAAACCTTAACCAGCAGTCAGTAATCCCTAAGGAAAAAAATTAGAGTATACTACAGTATTTCCATTATTTTAATTCCATTTGAGAACTTGGAAGCCAAAGTGCTTTCAAAGCATTCTGCAGATGAGTTACTCCAAAATCATCTCCTACTAAGAAAATTCTGAGGGCAGCCTGGGTGGCTTAATGGTTTAGCACCGCTTCAGCCCAGTAGGGATCCTGGAGACCCGGGATCGGGTCCCACATCGGGCTCCCTGCACAGAGCCTGCTTCTCCCTCTGCCTGTGTCTCTGCCTCTCTCTCTCTCTCTCTCTCTCTCTCTCTCTCTCTGCCTCATGAATAAATAAATAAAATCTTAAAAAAAAAGAAAATTCTGATTGATGACACATATTCTATTCCTGAAATCAGAATCTCTTTTCCAAATCATCCTATAAGAATTCCATTCTTAATACTGCACAAAATACATGAGTTCTCTATCCAAGACTGCCCAGCTATGGAGTAGAAGTATCACTAAATGGTGGCTGCTGGAAATATGCAAGCCACATATTAAGTAAGATAAACAATATCCCTCACTCAACAAGTATTTATTGAGTACATAATGTCTAAATACAGGCCTGGAGTAATTAGAATAGCAGTTAAAATTTTAGTGAATGCTATCAGGCAACCTTCTACACAGTTCTCACATACTATTTAATTTATTTATAAAATAATCCCATAGTTTGGTAGATTTGGAGGCTGAAGCCCAGAACGCCCAAATAATTTGGCTGAGATCACACAATTAATAAGTGGTAGAGCTAAGATCTGAAACTAGGAAGTTGTCTCGTGAGTTGGTACTCTTAATCCCAATACGATCCACAGCTCTAAGAAGATAGATCCTACCGTTGCTTTCATGGCACTTACTATTTCACAGGGAAGATAGACGTTAAATGACTAATTGCAAGTCTGACGAATTTTAAGTCTGGTGAGTTTTATGCTATAGAAGTGTATCAAAGGGGGGTCTGAAGTCTTTCAGAATAAGTCACAAATTTAAGTTGCAAGTGAGAATTCCTGGTATAAAGTTTCCACAGCAAGGCCAGAGTATGGAGCTAGAGCCCAATTAGGGTGAAACTGGATGAGTTACGGTAATGATGCTGAGTTTTATTTGGAGAAGAATGGAAAACTGTTAAATCAAGTGAGAGAATGCCCCAATCTGATTATGACGACAGCAGGGTGGAGTAGTGGAGAGTGCTGGCTTGGAGGTGGTGGGAAGGCCTCTGTGGGAGGCTGTTGCAGTAGGATGATGGCTTTGCCAGAGTGTCGGCCGTGGGGATGGGACATGTGGTTGGGGGTCAAGGAAAAGGAGTTCAATTCCTGAAATGTAAAATATGAATAGTGAAGCTTAATATAGACTCATTGACTTGATAAAACATAACCAAGTATAGCAAACCATGGAGCCTCTCCTCCATATTTTATCCTCCACAGGATGGGCCAGGCACCCTGCAAAGTGGTTTGTGTGCTTGTATCATTGATCTTTACAACGACCCTGTCAGGCTAGCACTGTTTAGATTTCCATTTGACCTATGAGGAAGATGAGACTGGGGAGGGTTAAGTGAGGTCCCAAGGTCACAAGAAAAGTGGCAGAAGCAGTGCTAAAGCTCTAGGGTGTCTGATCCCACCAACTACAGTCCTCACGTGTCTCTTTCCAGAGCTTGTCTGACGATAAGACTCACCTATAACACTTGTTGAACAGACTTATCTCTGGGCTCCCTCTCTGGATGTGCTGATTCGGTGAGCTGGGGCCCGGGATCTGTGTACTCACAAATTCCATCACCACTTTCCCCTCATGCTGCTTAGTTTTATTCACAGAACTGATCACAACTGGAAATCTTGTTGTGTTATGTATTGATTTATTACCTAGCAGCTCCTCTAGAACAAACCCCCCAGAAGGTCACGGCTTTGGCCCCTGGAATGTGCCAGGATCCTCTTTCCCGCCCCTCCCCTCTCCCTGGAGGACCCTGAGGGCCCCTGGCCCTGTCTCCTGGTTTCTATCCTCGCTCCTCCTTTGACCCATCTCCATACTGAAGTCACAGTGATCTTTGAGACATGTCAGTTTACTCGGCCATCAATCCCTTCCTCATATCCTTAGAACAAGAATGCTATAATCTGGTCCTTACTTCCTCCCTCGGTCCCTCAATCCAGCCAGGCACTCAGCCTCCAGTGTGACCCAAGTGCTCTGAGCATCAAGGGTCCCATGGGAGGCTCCCAAGCGCACTTTTCCTGGAGGTACCAGAGTTGCTCTCACTGCTACAGTGTGGAGGTAGTGAGGCCGGAGGCCACAGTCCCCAGTGGCCACTCCCCTGCCTACTTCCCCTTCTGGGTATTTGTGAGGCTTCAAGAGAGAGCCGTTTGCTGGCTGACTTAGAGACAGGCTCAGCAGGTTAAGCTCTGCGGCTGTACTTCTGACCCAGGTGGAAGGCAAGAGAAGGTGTCCTGAGTGGGAGTTCAGGGAGGGCTGTTCAGCTGTCCCGGTGGGCAGAGGCAGAGCAGAGAATGCAGGGAGGTCTCCCACAGAAGAACTCTGCGGTGGCTCCCTGGGTGGCCCGGCCAGCACAGCCTGCTGTGTTCTGTGCAGTTAAAAGCAAGCTGCGGGTGGAGGGACCTCTGTGCTCGGGCCGAGCGCGGCTTACGCCACACATGGCTAAAGTACACAGACGATTAGCAATCAGGGCAAGGACCTCCCTGCTGCAGAAAATGACACAGGGGTTACTTCTCTGTAAACAGCCCCAGAAAAGCCCCGGTTCCTTTTACGGGCTGTCTCTCCTCCCTTTGAGAAGTTGCGAATGCACCCACCCAGGGCTTTGGCTCTCAATCCACCAACGGGCAGGAGGCACGTGCGCGTGCACACACGTGCACACACGCACACGTGCGCACACCCCGCCGTCTGGGCAGCAGCACGCCCCGAAGGCCCTAGGATCTCTCAGAAGGCTGTGCCCTCAGACCCAGTGGGCGCTGTGTGGAACCAGAGGAGCTTGAAAGTAGAAAACAGGTGGCCCTTGGTCGGAGTGGCCCAGCAATGGGGAGCATCCCTCGTGGGCCCAGTGTCCTGCACCTTCGTTTCCTGGGTCCCTGGTAAGAACAAAAGAGAGCATTTGCACGTTGCCTGTTATTTATTCCAAATTAAAATATCCTGAGTAATCTTTCCAGCCCTCCCTAGAAAAGATGGGACAGAGACTTAAGGGGTTTTAAAGGCCTCAAATCCTACTCAGATGACACCAGAGCCTTTTGGAGTCTCTGCAGCAAAGTGATTTTGAGGCGTCCCTTTACCTGGGAAGTCCAAAGCAACATTCTTTGGGAACAAAGATTTGTGCTTGTATTAATGGCCATTAAACTTGTGAATGACGGAAGGCCCCACACAGGCCTAAGCAGCAAAGATTTCTGGGCTTCTGCAGCTGGAAAGTCCAGATGGGTTAAGGTGCGCATTCCAGGGGTAGCAGTGAAAACAAACACGTACTGAATCCTGAGCACAGATCGCACTAGCCCGGGCATTTAACCCTCAAGCCACACAATGATCATGGCCCTATCCCCACCCATTTTGCAGAGGAGCAGGGTGAGGAACAAGACTTGTATCTGGAGGCCGACAGGGCCTGGATGGGACCATGAGGCCCTAACCCCCTAATCTGATCTCTGAATGCCACTCAGTCTGGCTCCCAGTCTCCTTAGGCAGTTGTCTCTGCCACCTTCTGAACTTGTCCCATCCTACCCACCGGCACAGGCTTCCCCCCTTCCTGGGGAAGCCCCCTGGGGGAAGCCTCCCCCCACCCTGCTCTGGGGGGCTTCAGGCCAGGGCAGTCTCTTGCTGCCACTCTACAGAGCAAGTAGAGGGGCCAGGCAGGAAATACAAACGTGTGACAAGGGCCATGTGCACTGTGACAACCAGGACCAGCCACCGCACGGATGTGGCCCGGGGATCTCCAGATCCTCTAATTTTCAAGAAAACCAGAAATCTGGACTTTTCATGTAAAAGTTTCTGCTTTTGAAAATGTGATGCAGGCCTAACCACATGCATTTTGGAGTCAGTGGTGTTTGATTTCTGCTCTCCATTAGAGTCTTGGGGAAGCAGCCCTAGGGGCTCACCTGTCTTTGAGGCAGCTCCTTTAGCCAGGGGTGCTGCCTCCACCTGGGACCCGGTTAGCTACTGGAGGGGGGGTGATGCGCAAAGGGATATGCGACCAGAGTCCTGCTGAGACCACCCAGCCCGTGGTTGGCATCTCCAAAGAAGAAGTGATTGAGTAATGTCTAGAACGTCTGCACAGCCACTTGTATGAGTCCATAGTCCCTTAGAGCAAATCGTAAGAGAAAAAAAATATTCCATTTAAAGTTAAAGTCGGTTATTTTTTGGACTAGCTTCAAAGCAGAGATGAACAGAATGGGCTAAGAGGCGGCCAGTGTGAGCAGTAGTGGCGTTTCTCCAGCCTCTAATGATGTGCCTTAGTCAGAAACCAGGGGACCCACGGAGGTTGGGCTGGGAGCTTGGTTTCCATTTCCTATTCAAAGGTTAGCCTGTCTGATGAGATAAACACAAAGGAGCCAGATGTGGTATGATTGTAACAGTCGCTGATTATATCGGATACTTTACCTGGGAGGCATTTCCACCTTGGGGTGGGGCGGACTCTGATGAGCAGCTCTTGTGGGCCTTTCTGGGTGGGGTTCTAACCGCGTAGCCCAGCTAGAAGCCCTGCCATGTGCTTCACCACAGACTTCGGGTTCCTAACTGAACAATTCTGCTGCACAGATTTGAATATTTTCCTGTCCTTGGTAGGATGGGTTCAGGAGGTGCTCCCCTACGTGGTACAGAGATCTGAGCACCAGCAGGGGTCCCTCTGCCCTCTAGTCAGAGCCTAAGGTTACTCGTGGCACTATCTTTCCTCAGGCTTAACACATTGTGCATCTTTGTTAAGCGTACGTGGTTCTACACTAACCTGGAAGGATGGTGTGTTAGTGCATGTGACAAGCTGCTTGGAAACCATCGGCCCTGTTTCAGCTGCTGCATACAACTCTTCCTCTCATAAAGGCCTCTGGGGACAGGCACTGTGAGCCCATTTTCCAGAGGATGACACCGACTCCAGGAGTTGGAGGGAAGCTATACATGATAGTTATATTTAGTATTCCGATAACAAGTGTCAAGGGCAGGATGCCAGGAGTATCACATAGAATGCTGTTGGCCACAGCAGAAAATTCTAATGCAACTGAGTTAGAAATGAGGAAACTCATTATCTATCAGGAGCATGGGTCTGGAGGTTGGGAGGCCGCTGCTTAAGCTCATGGCTCAAATGACACCATCAGGAACCCAGATTCTTTCCTTCTATTTGTCATCTTGGCAGGTCGGCCTTGACCTCAGTCCTCACTGGCCTGCTTGGCTGCATTCCACCCAGACTCACCCATACCTGGCATGAGGGAGGCAGCGGGGCCGCCACCTGGGCTGCTCGTGCCCTTACCTTACACATGACTTTGAAGGACCCACACCTTAGCTTGTCTGAGTTTTGCTGTAAAGTTACATTAGCAATGCCCGTTTTCTTTCAGTTAGCCTAATAGGTTGAAAAGAGCTCTTCGTTTATGTTTTAGACAAAAGGTGTGTACCAGTCCAGGCTTGGAAATGAGTGAGAATTTTCTCCATTGCAAGTGACTCAAGTCCTGTCCTCCCACTTGTGGCTTCTGCTCTGCATGATGATTGAGAAGTTAGATCTGGAAATCTGGCCACAAAAATTACTTAATGGATTCATGCCTCAGTTTCCACCTCTGTAAAATGGGGATCATATTAGAATCCGCTCATAGGGTTGCTCAGTAAGGATTCAGTAAGTTAGTACATGGGAAATCCTTGGAACGGGGTCTGGCCTACTGTAAGGGTTCAGTAGGCTCCAGGTCTTAGTGTTGGTCTCCAAGGTGCCTCAAGAATGAGGCAGCTTTGATGTGACAGCCGTGCAGCCTGTGCTTCCAATGAAGAGTGAGGGCTAGCCCACTACCTCAGATCCCAGAGAGGACTCTGTGGTTCAAATAGCCCCCTTTCTGCCCAAGCTGGGGCTTGAGCCGTGCCCCGCCACTCCGTGCAGGGACTGAGGTCCCCCCCAGACCTCCCCAGGCATTGAGAAGAAAGAGTGGTTTCCTAAAGGGGATCCAGAAGGCTATGACCAGAGCAAGGGTGGTAGGTGTGCCACATGGATGATGCTACGGATGACCCGCCATCATTCCTTCTGCTGTTGATCCCTGGGAGCGGGCATTTGGACTCAACATGTGACTATATTAGACACCGTTTTAGCAGCTGTGGTTGTGAGACATTTTTCTGGCATAATATAATTCTTTATTCTGCTGTCCAGACTGCAGTGTCATCTCTAAGAACTCTCTGAGTATTTGATCATATTTAGATTACTGAATTTTTTATAGTAAAAATTTGGAGGGGCAAATGATACCATCAGAGGCGAACTCAGCATTGATAGATGTGTAAAGAAAGACCAAAAACCACCCTTTCATTGCACTTCTTTGGTTATATAAGCAGGGTAAAAATTTGGTAGAACCAGAAAGAAAGCAGGTAGCAGCTGTGTCTAGTCCATTAGGATAACCCGAGGAGTGTGGCTTGCTGGGAAACACACAGGCCCTCCCGAGGTGCCCTGGGCTCGTGTGGGGCACTGGGGCACCTCAGGTGGGCCTCCCCACCATGCCGTCCCCCTTCAGGCCTGAGGACATAGCTTTATCACCTCTATGCCCCACGGCTCCTGCCGTGACAGAACATGTATGGGCTTTGTAACGGTTTATGAACAAAACTGATAATGCCTGTAAAAAATGTTTCTTTAGGGGCACCTGGTGGTCCAGTGGTTGAGGGTCTGCCTTTGGCTCAGGTTGTGTTCCCAGGGTCCTGGGATTGAGTCCCTGCAGGGAGCCTGCTTCTCCCTCCCTCTATGTCCCTGCCCCTCTCTCTGTGTCTCTCATGAATGAATGAATAAATAAAATCTTTAAAAAAAACCCCAAAGAACTCTTTTTAAAAAATAATGCAGTGCATTATAAATCATTTTTCTGAAGCCTGAAACTTGCTATGTGTGAGCAAGTACTTGGTAAAGTACTGTTTTATGCCAACAGAATATTTTTGAAATGTAAAAGCCACAGACCTCCAACTAACATCTTCCATTTAATACTCATTTTTGGGCAGCCTGGGTGGCTCAGCAGTTTAGCACCACCTTCAGCTCAGGGCATGATCCTGGAGACCTGGGATGGAGTCCCACATCAGGCTCCCTGCATGGAGCCTACTTCTCCCTCTGCCTGTGTCTCTGCCTCTCTCTCTCTCTCTCTCTCTCTCTGTGTGTGTGTGTGTGTGTCTCATGAATAAATAAATATAATCTTTTAAAAAAAATCCTCATTTTTTTTTGACACGTACATGGTTTACAAAGTGAAACAGTTTTGCGACATCCAAACCAAAGCAGTCTGCCCATCCCGCCTACCCATCCCCCTTCCCACCCTTCTGGCAAATGTAACTCCTTCCAGATCTTTCTTCTGATGTTTATCTCCATGTTGTAAAATAATAACCTTACATTGCTATTCTGTAAGTTTATAGTTTTTGATATTGTCCTCATCTATCTGAGCTGCTATAACAAAGCACCACTGATTGGGGAGTTTGTAAAAAAACAGAGATTCATTTCTCACAGTCTGGAGGCTGGATGTCTGAGATTAGGGTGCCAGCGTGATCAAGTTCTGGTGAGTGCCCTCTTTGGGGTTGCACACAGCTGACCTTTGGCTGTGTGCTCACATGGGGAGCAGAGGAAGCAAGCTTTCTTGTGACTCTCCCGAGGGCACTAATCCCATGTGTAAAGGTTCCATCCTCATGACCTCATCTAACCTTAATTACCTCCTGAAGGCCTCACCTAACACCATCACACTCTAGGGTAGGACTTAAATATCTCCCCCCACAATTTGGGGGGGGGGATGGATATTCAATGCATAATAGGTATCACCTACTAACTTCTAACTATAGAATATAAAGTCTGGCTCCTTTCATACGCCCTTCCCAACATTCTCCCCATACAATTATTTCTATAATTTTTTGGTTAAACTAAAACTCATTTTTGCTAATATCAGGATTATAT